TTAGTAGGTAAGCGTGGGTATGTGTACGAAGGTGCGTCCGAGGATGCGCGCGGCGAAGTTCGTAATGTTTTGTAAATAGAGTCATGCGATCCTACTAAACTACACTACTTCGAGTTTGTGCCCCGAAAATTGGCGCCGCAGTCGTACTAATCGTCATGAACTTTGCCGCGCAATTCGCCGCGCGCACGCTCGGACGCACGTTCGCACTGTCCCCCGGTATGCGGTAGTGGGCATGTGTGCACGCAATAGCATGCGTAGCCCAACTGGTTCCCTATAAACGTTATGATGGTCCATTCCATGTGAGAAACCATGGCAACAGGCTTTGCTACATGAAATGCCCTCAGTATCCAAAGTATCGATGTTCTACCGTAAACATAGTGGCGTCACGTTGAATTAGCCAAGGAAATTATCAGCCTTAGACGAAGTGAATGATCGAGGCGCAGAACATTAATTCGACCAATGCTCACCTTTTCCTTTACAGACACCTTCGACCTAATTATTTATGAGTCGATTGTATATTCATAAAATTCTTCAATCGAAAACAATTATTCTACTGTAATCCACTTCCAGTTCCACTTGTACTGTGAGGCAATTATTACATTATTAAACGTAAAACAAACTTGTGTAATACACCACATAAACACCCTTTTATTTGTAACGCCGACAACCATTTAACCCGAGTGGGAGATGGAAAAGAGAGTAAACAGTCTGTATCCTTTTCAGCACAATAGATCAATTACTGAACATCTTCGAATCGAAGGCGCAGTCCATGGTGAAAATGGTGCCTGAGATTTTTCTCTAGAATGACCCTGTGGCCCTCAAGGATAGCTCGAGAGCACCTAAGAGTTCCCACACCGTTGTGGATGCACTTGGCGCATCGGGGACCACACGTTCACACAGACAGCTTACCGTTTACCCAGCTGTACGCATTGGCACATACATTTAAGCAACTCGTCCAAATGCCCCTCCCATGCAACTTTTGTCCACATTATCATTCCAATCCCTTCTTTTCCTCCTTTCCCGAACCCTTAAGTGCCTCTGAAAACGCCGACTTTTTTGCCACTATTGACTGCACTATTCTGAACTATTACTTCCATAAATCAACCAAAATTTATCGTAAACTGATTTCAAGGAGTAGGTGCAACTCAGTTAATGCTCGCTACAACACAACAGAAATAAAGATTTCAAGAACGGAACAGATAACTAATTCATCAAATATGATCAGGTGAATAAACCTCGCATTTAATGAGAATCTTCATGGGATGCTTAATTGTGTTTTTATCATGATGAAATTGCTACCTTCAAAACTAACATCTCATTTATAATGTTCGTAGCAAACAAGTATGATCTTTGTGAAAATTCCTGGGAAGGAACCTACAAACAACAAATATTACAACATTCTGAACAACAATTCCATGTAGCAAAGGAGCGATGAATCCAGGAGATGCTAACCAGGCGTTATCGATGATGGCCTTGCTTTACTCATATTGATGAAAAATACACTCCCGAAGAAACTTTCCCTGTTGTAACATTTGAAGATGACCATCACTTTTTTCCGTATTGTGCTGAAAAGAAAAATGTGTCATAGAGAAAAGTGTCGAGTTGAAGAGTGACATGCTTAAGTTGATATGTGTCAAAGTAAGTCTGAAGGTATCCGTTTGCACTTCCATCTCATCGTGCCAATGCGGGAGCAATGGTACCGTTCATGGGAATATGGTTAATCTTGGATAGGCCTTCAATCTCCCCTCTGATACTCTTAATGGCGAAAACGCAGTCTGAACGTGGAAGAATCTATACAACGGGCTAAAGCTTGCCTGTCTGTCAATACAATATTGTCTGAAGAACCACCTGAAGAGGACAGATCAAATTTACCAAGTTTGGAATGGGTTGGGCATAGGGAAGGACGCAGCATATCACATGTGACCAAGCGAACACCCTCCCACATGAGCTGGTCAATGCTCTGGAATGGGGTTCGCCATCAGCAAAATTTCCAGTTTGGTTTCGTAACCGCCCAGAAGCCGGGTAAAAACTAGGAAAATTAGGAATGGGCCAACAAATGGATTTGAAGGCACAGTCCACTATAAAAACGGTTACCGTTTCCTTCCTTGGGAACACGCGAGGACCTTAAGAGTAATATGAAGGACCCTCTCACCTCCAAAAACTCGACGGTCAGGGCTCAGTGGGAGCCCCATTCCCGGCTCGCGCGGACTTTCCGCTACTCAACCAATGTCACGTCAGATCAGTGTCGAGGCAATACAGATTGCAAGTATTTGCGTCAGGACCCATACATAATCAGCTGATCGACGAGGGAAGAGGCTATGTTTTTCTCCCATTCTTTTATTCACCGTTATTTTTTTTTTGCTACTGCGATCTTCATTCTAATTCTCTACCTCAAGTGGTTGGAAAAGTTGAGCTATTTTTGCTGTTACCAGAGTTTTTTGTTTACTCTTGATTATAAGTGAATGAATTTTTGCTTACCGTAGTCAGTTCTTCGCATCAGGACCCACACGTACGTAATGACCCACATTGTATAGCTCGTCCAAACACCCCACTCTTCGTTTTTCTGAACCCAATCTCTTCCAGCTCCTTTTTAACGGTTTTTTTGAAGCCTTTTCTCCACTTTGGGAACACCGATTCACGCAGTTTAAATCTAGATTGCCCAAAATTATCGTGAACTGTACCTTTAAGGGCACCCACACCCGATGTACTTTCTCACAACGGGCGGTCTTTTCGCATGAAACCATAATTCAATTTAGCTGCATTAAAACGTGACATTCTTGAGTGAAACAGCTCAGGTTGAAAAATCGTTGAAGGCGCTCTGTGATGCCCGCCCTAGTGTGGGAAACCCAGCTCTCCGACTGATCGTAGGTAAAATCGAAAATTGTAAGTGCTTCAAGAACCTACGGGTTCATTGCTACGAGCAGTAATGGATTGAGATATGAGAAGAATATCCATGCACTGTTCAAAATAGCTATCGTCATCTTTGTCATGTGGAACCAATCCACTGAAATACATACACGTCCATCAACTGGTTTGATCGAAAGAACATCGAATCACGTCAAAAGAACTACCTGCATTGTGCCAAAGAATAATAAGTGTGCTCATATAACAAAATAGGATAGTGGCTTGTAAGAAAATCTTGAATTCTTGACCTCGCCTATTGGTTCTGGTCGCCATGTCCCTTTTCGTCTGAAAAGAACTATTTTTACATGGTCTAGGAGAATAGGGAGACTTGTGGTTTTTGATTTTGGTAAAAAAAGTGACTGGTTTCTCTAGTCCCACTCTCTGGTCCTTCCTGACTAGGACAAGAATTCTGATCTCAGACTCTTACCACAACTAATCTCATCAGCTCCCCGAAAAGACTCGTATATGACTTCGTTGTAAAGCGGACAGAAACCGACAACAAAAATCATTTGTTGGCGCAAATAATAGAGTCATTGGCTAGGGTAAAACCCTCCGTAATGGCGTCGTGAAGGAAAAACTAGCCCCTAGTGGAGTATGTCTTGTAGTTAGTTCCTCCTAAAGTGGAAATGAAATCGGGAGAAGCAAAGACTAATCGAAAGAGACAGCGAGAACCTTCTGAGTAATACTCCACTGCTTTTGTTGAATATGGCATTGATATGGTACGGACCTTTGGAGGAAGATTTTCAATTTTCGGTGCATCGCTGCTGGCTTTCCCCTTTACTGAGACTTGCTTTCTTCTATTTCTCCCAGAACAACGAAGGGAAATACGGTAACGGGGAGTTAACTAGACCTTACTCTAGCAAAAAAAAACACTAAAAAACTAAGTTTTCTAAGCCTTTTATATAATTGAGTGATCAAGTGAATAATCCTAAGGTCGGATCCTTAGAAAGCAACCCTTGAAAGAAAATTCTGGGAGGTAAGAGGTTACGTGGCAAAGACAAAAACTTTCGTTTAAAATAACCATATTCATACCATTTCCACGTGTATAACAATAGCAAGATATGCAATATATGTAAGTCCAAGAGATGGGAAGCATAGATACCATTCGAGGGCTGACAATGTCTCAGCTCCCATCTTACTCAAATCGTAGCTCCATCCGACTCCAGCAAGGTAGAAATTTTGGGTTATACAACCCCAAAGCCAGACACCAATGGTGTACAGCCAACCGATCACCATAACAACCTTAAAGACATATGTGAATAGGCTTTTCACCATAAATTTATATTTTGAGAATGAATAGACGAAAGATTTAATTTTAAATTTGTATTTTTAAAATTGTAGAATTTTCTCTGGCTCCAACCTTTAATGCTGCTGGAACTTCTTTAGGCTGTATGACACGTCGAATGACCAGTATTCGACTTATTGCCAAAACGCTCATAACGGGAAATAATGCGAGCCATAACGAATTTGCTGTGCATCCACAA